TCCTCGGAAGGCGTGTGTACGGCCTCCACGTTCGTCCTCAGACTCTGGATCAGCTTGAACAGGCATTGCGGAGAGAATGGCAGAACATTCCACAACAGACTCTAGACAGACTCATCTGGTCAATGCCTAGACGTCTTGAAGCGTGTATTCAGGTCAATGGTGGCCATACACGTTATTAAACTTTGGATCAGTGCTCAAAACTGACAGTAAAAGTGTTTTCAGACATTTTCATACCCTGATGCAAACACATTTTGCACGGCTTTTTCAGTGACACTGATTTTTTGATGATTTGCAAGTCAGTTATTGTTCAATGAATTTTGATTTCTTTGTTGGAAAAGTGTGTGGATATGCTTTATCGTTTTATTTTTTGTTATGTTTGATTCAGTTGTAATGATCATGAGTAAAGGCATATGTAATGTGACCAAAAATACACTTGTTGCTTAATTTTTGTGAGGAGTATAGTTATACGGTAGTGACAAGGTACGATAGGAGTAGTCAGGGTACTATCCGAGTGATATAAATATGTGTGTGATAATGCAGTGAAACAGTAATGTCGGTAATGATGGTGATGTGGCAGTAGTTACGAAATACCACATATAAGGCCTATTCCCGATGTGCTCACGGTATGTGTCAGAGTAGATAGAGATAGATTCTGATGATAGAGATGAAATGTGGAAATGTCTTAGGAATAGGGGTCTTAAAGGAAAAATGTTTGATTTATCAGGTCAGTGTAAAATCTTGTGATCATACATGTAGTGAATATTTTGATTGCCCTACTGGTGTACGAGAAGGTTGTGCCCTAAGCCCCATACTTTTCTCATTCTTTATCAACGAACTTTATTTTGATATTATGCAAGCTGGTAGACATGGCATCCAATTATTTCCTGATCTAGTTGAACTTTTTATCTTCCTTGTTTGCCGACGATGTGATCCTTATATCAAGTACTGGTATTGGTCTTCAGAGACAAATAGATACACTTTCATCTTATTCAGACAACTGGCGACTTGGTGTTAATCTTGAAAAGACCAAAGTTCTTGTATTCCGTAAGGGTGGCAGCTGAAGAAAAGTGGCATTTTAAATGTGAACGTATGACTGTTGTTAACGAATATAAATATCTAGGGATACTGTTTACATATACACTGGTAATTAGAGGAAAAGGGGCCCTACTTCAATTGTTCTTCAATTATACAAAAGTTGGGGGTTTTGGACCCAGTATATTTTTCAAATTGTTTGATTCCAAAGTACAGCCTATTCTTCTTTATGGGTCTGAAATTTGGGGCTACAAGGAATATTATGTCATTGAAAAGGTTCACCTTCTTGCTTGTACTTGTAAAAGGTTATTAAATGTTGGTATGTCTGCCCCTAATAATATGGTGTACGGTGATATGCGGGAGATTTCCTTTGTACATAATTTTTTACTCTCGCTGTTTGAAGTATTGGTGTAAAGCAGTGAATATGCCAGAACTTCGTCCGCAATATAAAAAGCCCTACAGTATGATTGTCAATCTTGATAATATTGGTAAAAATACTTGGGCAACCCGTATTCGTAATCTTTTGTTTAGATACGGCTTTCGATTTGTTTGGTTATCCCAAACGGTAGGTGATGTTAATGCATTTATCAAACATTTCCGTACCAGGGCTATCGATATCTTTAAACAAGACTGGCATTCATCTCTACGTGAAAGTGCAAGATATGATTGTTATCGTGAATTGAAATCTTTATTTGAACCTGAGTCGTATCTATACAGCTTACGTAGTAAAAATCTTCGTAATGAGACTAGGCCTAAATGATCTATCTATCAATCAAGGACGATATTTAATCTGTCCAATATTGTAGAGAATGAATTACACTTTTTATTTCTTTGTCCTGTATATAATGTTTTAAGACAAATTTATTTTCCACAATGGCTACATGTTTTCCTGTAAAACATCCCTATTACAATATAAGGTAGCTCTATTTATTTATCATGCGCTTGTATTGAAAAGAGATTTACTGTAACGTGTGTGTCGTATGTTGTATATGTTGTACATATTATACATGTTTATTTTGTATATGGGCCAATGGCCTTCATGCAATAAACTGATTGAGTAGCTGATACATACAAATGTTTGCACATCGGTTTGTCGATTCACACCTGAATGAACCGTAAGAACCGTAATAACAGTGCCCAATATATCAATATACCAAATGCATAAAACAATACACATTCAATCCTTGTGATAATATTTGCAATAGATTCATCAAAAATATTCGTAAAAATATATCAATATAAATGACAGAAATTACGAGATAAATAAACATTCCAGGGAAGGAAGGACTTATATATTAACAAACAGGGACTGGGTCTGACCGATACAAATACAGATAAAGTCAGTTGATGATCACAAGGATATGGAAGTGAATCAGGTGGTTGTGGAAGGCATATTTATATTGGGTGTAGTAAAGGGATGTGCACTGTGATAGTTAGGCTTAAGAGAAAGGTGTTGCTATTCAGTGCATTCCAATATTTATGATAAACAGGAGTGTGTGGGTATTGGTAATGTCGGAGCAATATAAGGATGTGCAATGTGAGGATGTACACTATGGTGCTGCAGTGACACTGAAGGAAGCAGGAATCCGTGGTGATGTGGAGGTATTGCCAGATACACGGTATAGGTGCATGCATGACTCACTTGGTGTACACTTCATATCCTGTTGGAAGAAATCTTCCAGACACGTGCATGTGTTATTGCTACAATCAGCGTTAACAACACATTCGGATCTGCTGGTGCATGTTTCGCCCACCTGTCGTCCTATAAGACGAACATACGGTAAAGACAATGAGAAAAGGTTATCGTTCTTACACCTTATTCTATGAGCGTGCGCGCGCAATTGTCACTTTATAAACCAGAGCAATCATTGGTTACTTTACAAACCAGTTATTTAAACGTGTGTTTTTTTTCCGTCGTGTTCATCGGGATAAAATCATGATGTAAAATAACATTAGTCAATTGAATAATTGGACATATAAAATCACTTGTACCTGTCCAGACAAATAAACAAAATACAAGAATATATAATTTCGTATGGCTAGTACAATGCTCACATTCGCAATGAAACCGATCGTTAAAACTTATAAATGTTAAAGCGTTTATACTTTTTATATTAAGTCGCTTAATCAGTGAAGTGTGTTAGAAATTAGAGTGAGTGAGTGAGTTTAGTTTTACACCGCTTTTAGCAATATTCCAACAATATCACGGCGGGGGACTCCAGAAACAGGCTTAACACATTGTATCCATATGGGGAATCGAACCCGGGTCTTCGGCGTGACGAGCGAACACCTTTAATCACTAAATTACCCCACCGCCCCGTTAGAAATTAGAACACGTTAGTCTACCTCTACCGGTTTCCCTTACAAAGGGAATGACTTACTGTCATCACATTGTTGATCCTTCTGATAGTATTCTTCAGGGCATGTACATACTGAGTCATTACACGTGGAAGGCGTCATACATTGCTTTTCATTTGTACAATTGCTGCCAACTGGTTTTGCTTTGAACAAACATAAACGACAAGTCGAACATTTAGAAGTTTATCATTGAATTTATGTTCTAAATAATCAGAATTTAGGTAATCATTAAAGCGCGGGCAAATAATGGCATTTGTCAAGAGTTAGTAATAAATGGGTGTCGTTTACACAAAGCATTCTGTTACAGAGGACATTGAATAGGTATTGATCTCTATATGCCAGGGGTTTTATGATATTAACATACATGCAGTGGGTGAAGGGTGTGGTTATTAAGAGTAATATCGGGGTGACATAAGGATGTGCATTCTAATATTTCTGATAAGCAAAATGATGCGAGTAATGATAATATCGTGGCAATACAATGATGTGCATTTTAATATTTTTACTTTAACAGAAGTATTTGGCTATTAGTAATATCGTAGCAATATAAGGATGTGCATTTTTATATTCTACTTTAATTGAAGTGTGTGGGTATTGGTAATATGGGAGCAATATAAAGACGTGCGAATTCTTTTCTTAGTGATACGATAGGTGGAGATGGTTAAATGTTTTAGAGACAAACCGATTAATCTCCAAGGTATTTATCTTATTTAATGTAGAGTAATTTAAGAAGTGCATTGTTATATTGAAGTGACACAGAAGGGAGTAGGATGTGGGAGAATTACCAGATACATGATACATGTGCGTGCAAGACTCACTTGGTATACACTTCATATCCTGTTGGAAGAAATCTTCCAGACACGTGCATGTGTTATTGCTACAATCAGCGTTAACAACACATTCGGATCTGCTGGTGCATCTTTCGCCCACCTGTCGTCCTATATGACGAACATACGGTTAAGACAATGAGAAAAGTTAATAGTCCTTATACCCTGTACATTCTACTGAACACACGTGTGAGCGTGCGCGCGCTACTGTCACTTTATAAACCAAGAGCAATCATTGTTTAAACGTGTTTTTCTATTCTTCCTGTTCATCGAGATACAATTATGATATAAAATAACATAAGTAAATTGTATAATTGGACAAACAAACTCACTTGTACCTATTTAGACAAATAGACAAAATGCATGAATACATAACATTGTATGGCTAGTACAATGCTTACATTCGCAATGAAACCAATTTTATTAACCAACCATTGTAAAAGCCTTTAACACTTTTATATTAAGTTGCTTAATCAGTGCAGTGTGTGAGAAATTAGAGTGAGTGAGTTTAATTTTACACCGCTTTTAGCAATATACCAACAATATCACGGCGGGGGACTCCAGAAACAGGCTTCACATATTGTACCCATGTGGGGAATCGAACTGGGGTCTTCGGCGAGACGAGCAAACGCTTTAACCACTAGGCTACCCCACTGGCCCGTTAGAAAGTAATACATGCTTGTGTACGTCTACAGTTTTCCTGCGCAGTGGCAATGACTTATTTAAAATTTAGAATACGTTTGTCTACCTCTACGGTTTTCCCTTACAGAGGCAATGACTTACTCTTTTCACATTGTTGATCCTTCTGGTAGTATTCTTCAGGGCATGTACATACTGAGTCATTACACGTGGAAGGCGTCATACATTGCTTTTCATTTGTACAATTGCTGCCAACTGGTATTGCTTTGAACAAACATAAACGACAAGTCGCACATTATGAAGTTTATCATTGAATTTATGTTCTAAATAATCAGAATTTAGGTAATCATTAAAGCGCGGGCAAATAATGGCATTTGTCAAGAGTTAGTAATAAATGGGTGTCGTTTACACAAAGCATTCTGTTACAGAGGACATTGAATAGGTATTGATCTCTATATGCCAGGGGTTTTATGATATTAACATACATGCAGTGGGTGAAGGGTGTGGTTATTAAGAGTAATATCGGGGTGACATAAGGATGTGCATTCTAATATTTCTGATAAGCAAAATGATGCGAGTAATGATAATATCGTGGCAATACAATGATGTGCATTTTAATATTTTACTTTAACAGAAGTATTTGGCTATTAGTAATATCGTAGCAATATAAGGATGTGCATTTTATATTCTACTTTAACAGAAGTGTGTGGGAATTGGTAATATGGGAGCAATATAAAGACGTGCGAATTCTTTTCTTAGTGATACGATAGGTGGAGATGGTTAAATGTTTTAGAGACAAACCGATTAATCTCTCCAAGGTATTTATCTTATTTAATGTAGAGTAATTTAAGAAGTGCATTGTTATATTGAAGTGACACAGAAGGGAGTAGGATGTGGGAGAATTACCAGATACATGATACATGTGCGTGCAAGACTCACTTGGTATACACTTCATATCCTGTTGGAAGAAATCTTCCAGACACGTGCATGTGTTATTGCTACAATCAGCGTTAACAACACATTCGGATCTGCTGGTGCATCTTTCGCCCACCTGTCGTCCTATATGACGAACATACGGTTAAGACAATGAGAAAAGTTAATAGTCCTTATACCCTGTACATTCTACTGAACACACGTGTGAGCGTGCGCGCGCTACTGTCACTTTATAAACCAGAGCAATTATTGTTTAAACGTGTTTTTCTATTCTTCCTGTTCATCGAGATACAATTATGATATAAAATAACATAAGTAAATTGTATAATTGGACAAACAAACTCACTTGTACCTATTTAGACAAATAGACAAAATGCATGAATACATAACATTGTATGGCTAGTACAATGCTTACATTCGCAATGAAACCAATTTTATTAACCAACCATTGTAAAAGCCTTTAACACTTTTTATATTAAGTTGCTTAATCAGTGCAGTGTGTGAGAAATTAGAGTGAGTGAGTTTAATTTTACACCGCTTTTAGCAATATACCAACAATATCACGGCGGGGGACTCCAGAAACAGGCTTCACATATTGTACCCATGTGGGGAATCGAACTGGGGTCTTCGGCGAGACGAGCAAACGCTTTAACCACTAGGCTACCCCACTGGCCCGTTAGAAAGTAATACATGCTTGTGTACGTCCACAGTTTTCCTGCGCAGTGGCAATGACTTATTTAAAATTTAGAATACGTTTGTCTACCTCTACGGTTTTCCCTTACAGAGGCAATGACTTACTCTTTTCACATTGTTGATCCTTCTGGTAGTATTCTTCAGGGCATGTACAAACTGAGTCATTACACGTGGAAGGCGTCATACATTGCTTTTCATTTGTACAATTGCTGCCAACTGGTATTGCTTTGAACAAACATAAACGAGAAGTCGCACATTATGAAGTTTATCATTGAATTTATGTTCTAAATAATTAGAATTTAGGTAATCATTAAAGCGCGGGCAAATAATTTGCATTTGTCAAGAGTTAGTAATAAATGGGTGTCGTTTACACAAAGCATTCTGTTACAGAGGACATTGAATAGGTATTGATCTCTATATGCCAGGGGTTTTATGATATTAACATACATGCAGTGGGTGAAGGGTGTGGTTATTAAGAGTAATATCGGGGTGACATAAGGATGTGCATTCTAATATTTCTGATAAGCAAAATGATGCGAGTAATGATAATTTCGTGGCAATACAATGATGTGCATTTTAATATTTTACTTTAACAGAAGTATTTGGCTATTAGTAATATCGTAGCAATATAAGGATGTGCATTTTTATATTCTACTTTAATTGAAGTGTGTGGGTATTGGTAATATGGGAGCAATATAAAGACGTGCGAATTCTTTTCTTAGTGATACGATAGGTGGAGATGGTTAAATGTTTTAGAGACAAACCGATTAATCTCTCCAAGGTATTTATCTTATTTAATGTAGAGTAATTTAAGAAGTGCATTGTTATATTGAAGTGACACAGAAGGGAGTAGGATGTGGGAGAATTACCAGATACAAGATACATGTGCGTGCAAGACTCACTTGGTATACACTTCATATCCTGTTGGAAGAAATCTTCCAGACACGTGCATGTGTTATTGCTACAATCAGCGTTAACAACACATTCGGATCTGCTGGTGCATTTTCGCCCACCTGTCGTCCTATATGACGAACATACGGTTAAGACAATGAGAAAAGTTAATAGTCCTTATACCCTGTACATTCTACTGAACACACGTGTGAGCGTGCGCGCGCTACTGTCACTTTATAAACCAGAGCAATTATTGTTTAAACGTGTTTTTCTATTCTTCCTGTTCATCGAGATACAATTATGATATAAAATAACATAAGTAAATTGTATAATTGGACAAACAAACTCACTTGTACCTATTTAGACAAATAGACAAAATGCATGAATACATAACATTGTATGGCTAGTACAATGCTTACATTCGCAATGAAACCAATTTTATTAACCAACCATTGTAAAAACCTTTAACACTTTTTATATTAAGTTGCTTAATCAGTGCAGTGTGTGAGAAATTAGAGTGAGTGAGTTTAATTTTACACCGCTTTTAGCAATATACCAACAATATCACGGCGGGGGACTCCAGAAACAGGCTTCACATATTGTACCCATGTGGGGAATCGAACTGGGGTCTTCGGCGAGACGAGCAAACGCTTTAACCACTAGGCTACCCCACTGGCCCGTTAGAAAGTAATACATGCTTGTGTACGTCTACAGTTTTCCTGCGCAGTGGCAATGACTTACTTAGAAATTAGAATACGTTTGTCTACCTCTACGGTTTTCCCTTACAGAGGCAATGACTTACTCTTTTCACATTGTTGATCCTTCTGGTAGTATTCTTCAGGGCATGTACATACTGAGTCATTACACGTGGAAGGCGTCATACATTGCTTTTCATTTGTACAATTGCTGCCAACTGGTATCGCTTTGAACAAACATAAACGACAAGTCGCACATTATGAAGTTTATCATTGAATTTATGTTCTAAATAATCAGAATTTAGGTAATCATTAAAGCGCGGGCAAATAATGGCATTTGTCAAGAGTTAGTGATAAATGGGTGTCGTTTAAACAAAGCATTCTGTTACAGAGGACATTGAATAGGTATTGATCTCTATATGCCAGGGGTTTTATGATATTAACATACATGCAGTGGGTGAAGGGTGTGGTTATTTAGAATAATATCGGGGTGACATAAGGATGTGCATTCTAATATTTCTGATAAGCAAAATGATGCGAGTAATGATAATATCGTGGCAATACAATGATGTGCATTTTAATATTCTACTTTAGCAGAAGTATTTGGCTATTAGTAATATCGTAGCAATACAAGGATGTGCATTTTAATATTCTACTTTAGCAGAAGTGTGTGGTTATTGGTAGTATGGGAGCAATATAAAGACGTGCGGATTCTTTTCTTAATGATACGTTAGGTGGAGATGGTTGTATATGTTTAGAGACAAACCAATGAATCACTCCAAGGTATTTATAGTTTTTAATGTAGAGTAATTTTAGAAGTGCATTGTTATATTGAAGTGACACAGAAGGGAGTAGGATGTGGGAGAATTACCAGATACATGATACATGTGCGTGCAAGACTCACTTGGTATACACTTCATATCCTTTTGGAAGAAATCTTCCAAACACGTGCATGTGTTATTGCTACAATCAGCGTTAACAACACATTCAGATCTGCTGGTGCATGTTTCGCCCACCTGTCGTCCTATATGACGAACATACGGTAAAGACAATGAGAAAAGGTTATCGTTCTTATACCCTGTACATTCTACTGAACACACGTGTGAGCGTGCGCGCGCAACTGTCACTTTATAAACCAGAGCAATTATTGGTTACTTTACATCATAATTGTTTAAACGTGTTTTCTTTTCTTCGTGTTCATCGAGATACAATTATGATATTAACATAAGTAAATTGTATAATTGGACAAACAAAATCACTTGTACCGGTTAGACAAATAAACAAAATGCATGAATACATAACATCGTATGGCTAGTACAATGCTCACATTCGCAATGAAACCAATCTTAAAAACCAACCAATGTGAAAGCGTTTATACTTTTTATATTAAGTTGCTTAATCAGTGCAGTGTGTGAGAAATTAGAGTGAGTGAGTTTAGTTTTACACCGCTTTTAGCAATATTCCAACAATATCACGGCGGGGGGACTCCAGAAACAGGCTTCACATATTGTACCCATGTGGGGAATCGAACTGGGGTCTTCGGCGTGACGAGCGAACGCTTTAACCACTAGGTTACCCCACCGCCCCGTTAGAAATTAGAATTTGTTTGTCTACCTCTACGGTTTTCCCTCACAGAGGCAATGACTTACTCTTTTCACATTGTTGATCCTTCTGGTAGTATTCTTCAGGGCATGTACATACTGAGTAATTACATGTTGAAGGCGTCATACATTGCGTTTCATTTGTACAAATGCTGCCAACTGGTATTGCTTTCAACAAACATAAACGACACATAGTATAATATGAAGTGTATGGTTGCAGTGATGTCATGTTCTGCATAATCAATATTAAGATTATCATTGCGGGCACACAGAGTAATTAACCTTGTATATGTCAACAGTAAGACAAATAAGAAAAAATGGGTGTCGGTTACACGAAGCATTCTGTTACAGAGGACATTGAATTGGTCTCTATGTGCCAGCGGTTTTATGGCATTGACATACATGCAGTGGGTACTGGGCCGGTCGTTCAAACACGATTTCAGGTTTATTACCAAGCATCCGCCTGAGTAAATATAGACACCTTTACTAGTTTGAGTAGTTTCCATGCAGTAAACTCTGATTGTGATTGTGATTATATTTGAAACAACCTTAGCCCTAAAAGGATGACAATTAACACCAAGTATTGTGCATACAATACTATTTATGAGTGATGTAAATAACTAACATCCTTGGTGTGTAGTAACTCTGTTTGAGAAGCTGACTCAACTAAATCAACACATCCGATCATGTTCAACTGCCTAGCAGAGTGGGAACCATTCTGAGCCACGTGACCAAGGTTTCAGAGGACGAGGTTTACCATATTCCATATTGTTGAGATTGCTACAGAAGAAAGACAACTCCAGTGCTTCCTCAGTCGCGTGAGTTTGTACACATTGAGGGAGAATGGACAATAACATCAGATGGACGGGATTTTCTTGTTGTTGATGATGGTTATGTTGACAAACGTTTAATACTTTGTACGGATGAAGACCTAATGCATTTGCGTTCATCTGATATAATTTACATGGATGGAACTATACTATTGTCCTCCGTAGACTTGTCCAGAGAGCAGATCTTGGGCATTACCATTATTAACTCCTACCGAAGTACAAGACACATGGATCGAGGGGTGGAGTCCCTGATGATATCCCCAGAATTGAAGAATTCAAAGATTACATGGTTACAACATGGGTTGACGATCATGCCAATATCCCATCTTCCATCTGGAACCACCACACAATATCCGGACCTAGAACCAACAATAATTTGGGGGGATGGCACTCAAAGCTCAACAGATATCTCCTAAAGTACCACCCAAAGATATTTGCTTCGCATGTTTTCTGCAGAAGCTTGAGATGACAGATCGTGCAAAAAAAAGATACTCAGTAGCTGTATGCTCATGGGGCACTCCCCCCACCACGCAAACGAGTATACAAGGAATTGGACAGCAGGATAGATAGACTCCAATGGCGACTTTCAAATGGACAAACAAACAAAATTGACTCTTTAGATGCTGTTGGACATTTGTTGAAAGTTAGAATATAGGCATTTTAGCATTTTCACGTTTATGGCTTTAGCATTTGTATTACTAAGCTATTGCTATCATGTTGAATATTATTTATAGATTTTGTATTTTTTGCAACGTTACAATCTTAAACAATTACATTATTGATGTTACAATCCATTTTATTATTTATATGTACACATTTTATAGATAATAAGAAAAATATATAAAATGTAAATGACAAACAATACCTTTTAACAGATGCGATTTATATCTAAAATTCTTTTGTCCAGCAATAAACTTATGAGATAAAATATATTGTATGTTTTACATACAGATTGAAAGAGTCCATTTTACATGAAAGTGTGGACATCATCAGTGTGAATTTATGACCCCCCATTACCCCTACAGTTTTTGACACCAAAAAATATAGGTGAATCGATATGTAGGGATAATGCTTCACGTCGTTCCTTGTTATCCAAATTCTGACGGATTAAAATTTTGGACAAATAGCTGTTA